ACTAGTGATAGCACTCACGAGTGTTAATCTTCTGCAGAGACACGTGCTTCTCCAGCTAGTACTAGTGATAGTAGTACTAGTGACAGTAGTGATAGTAGTACTAGTGATAGTAGTACTAGTGACAGTAGTGATAGTAGTACTAGTGATAGTAGTACTAGTGATGTTACTAGTGATAGCACTCACGAGTGTTAATCTTCTGCAGCGACACGTGCTTCTCCAGCTGGTAGTATTAGTAGTGATAGTACTAGTGATGGTAATAGTGATAGTAGTACTAGTGTTAGTAGTACTAGTGATAGTACTAGTGATGGTAATAGTAGTACTAGTGTTAGTAGTACTAGTGATAGTACTAGTGATGGTAATAGTGATAGTAGTACTAGTGTTAGTAGTACTAGTGATAGTACTAGTGATGGTAATAGTAGTACTAGTGTTAGTAGTACTAGTGATAGTACTAGTGATGGTAATAGTGATAGTAGTACTAGTGTTAGTAGTACTAGTGATAGTACTAGTGATGGTAATAGTGATAGTAGTACTAGTGATGATAGTAGTGATGTTACTAGTGATGGTAGTACTAGTGATAGTAGTAGTACTAGTGATGATAGTAGTAGTACTAGTGATAACACTCACGAGTGTTAATCTTCTGCAGAGACACGTGCTTCTCCAGCTGGTAGTAGTGATAGTAGTACTAGTGACAGTAGTGATAGTACTAGTGATAGTAGTACTAGTGATAGTAGTAGTACTAGTGGTAGTAGTGATAGTAGTGATGCTGCTAGTGATAGTACTCACGAGTGTTAATCTTCTGCAGAGACACGTGCTTCTCCAGCTAGTAGTAGTACTAGTGATAGTAGTACTAGTGATAGTGATAGTAGTAGTACTAGTGATAGTAGTGATAGTGATGGTACTAGTGATAGTGATAGTAGTAGTACTAGTGATAGTAGTGATAGTAGTGATAGCACTCACGAGTGTTAATCTTCTGCAGAGACACGTGCTTCTCCAGCTGGTAGTATTAGTAGTGATAGTACTAGTGATAGTAGTAGTACTAGTGATACTAGTGATGTTAGTAGTACTAGTGATAGTAGTACTAGTGATAGTACTAGTGATGGTAGTAGTACTAGTGATAGTAGTACTAGTGATAGTACTAGTGATGATAGTAGTACTAGTGATAGTAGTACTAGTGATAGTAGTAGTGATAGTAATATTACTAGTGATGGTAGTACTAGTGATAGTACTAGTGATGGTAGTAGTACTAGTGATAGTAGTACTAGTGATAGTACTAGTGATGGTAGTAGTACTAGTGATAGTAGTACTAGTGATAGTACTAGTGATGATAGTAGTGGTACTAGTGATAACACTCACGAGTGTTAATCTTCTGCAGCGACACGTGCTTCTCCAGCTGGTAGTAGTGATAGTAGTACTAGTGATAGTAGTACTAGTGATAGTACTAGTGATGGTAGTAGTACTAGTGATAGTAGTACTAGTGATAGTACTAGTGATGATAGTAGTACTAGTGATAGTAGTACTAGTGATAGTAGTAGTGATAGTAATAGTACTAGTGATGGTAGTACTAGTGATAGTACTAGTGATGGTAGTAGTACTAGTGATAGTAGTACTAGTGATAGTACTAGTGATGGTATTAGTACTAGTGATAGTAGTACTAGTGATAGTACTAGTGATGATAGTAGTACTAGTGATAACACTCACGAGTGTTAATCTTCTGCAGAGACACGTGCTTCTCCAGCTGGTGATAGTAGTACTAGTGATAGTAGTAGTACTAGTGACAGTAGTGATAGTACTAGTGATAGTAGTAGTACTAGTGACAGTAGTGATAGTACTAGTGATAGTAGTAGTACTAGTGATAGTACTAGTGATAGTAGTAGTACTAGTGATAGTAGTACTAGTGATGGTAATAGTGATAGTAGTACTAGTGATGATAGTAGTGGTACTAGTGATAACACTCACGAGTGTTAATCTTCTGCAGCGACACGTGCTTCTCCAGCTAGTGATAGTAGTAGTACTAGTGATAGTAATAGTACTAGTGATGTTACTAGTGATGGTAGTACTAGTGATAGTAGTGATGGTACTAGTGATAGTAGTACTAGTGATAGTAGTAGTAGTACTAGTGATAGTAGTACTAGTGATAGTAGTACTAGTGATAGTAGTACTAGTGATAGTAGTAGTACTAGTGATAGTAGTACTAGTGATAGTAGTAGTAGTAGTGATAGTAATAGTACTAGTGATGTTACTAGTGATGGTAGTACTAGTGATAGTAGTGATGGTACTAGTGATAGTAGTACTAGTGATAGTAGTAGTAGTACTAGTGACAGTAGTACTAGTGATAGTAGTACTAGTGATAGTAGTACTAGTGATAGTAGTAGTACTAGTGATAGTAGTACTAGTGATAGTAGTAGTACTAGTGATAGTAATAGTACTAGTGATGTTACTAGTGATGGTAGTACTAGTGATAGTAGTGATGGTACTAGTGATAGTAGTACTAGTGATAGTAGTACCAGTGATAGTAGTACTAGTGATAGTAATAGTGATGTTAGTAGTACTAGTGATAGCACTCACGAGTGTTAATCTTCTGCAGCGACACGTGCTTCTCCAGCTAGTGCTAGTAGTACTAGTGATAGTAGTAGTACTAGTGACAGTAGTAGTACTAGTGATGGTAGTACTAGTGATAGTAGTGGTACTAGTGATAGCACTCACGAGTGTTAATTTCTGCAGCGACACGTGCTTCTCCAGCTGGTAGTAGTGATAGTAGTACTAGTGACAGTAGTGATAGTACTAGTGATAGTAGTAGTACTAGTGATACTAGTGATGTTAGTGGTACTAGTGATAGCACTCACGAGTGTTAATCTTCTGCAGAGACACGTGCTTCTCCAGCTAGTACTAGTGATAGTAGTACTAGTGACAGTAGTGATAGTAGTACTAGTGATAGTAGTACTAGTGACAGTAGTGATAGTAGTACTAGTGATAGTAGTACTAGTGATGTTACTAGTGATAGCACTCACGAGTGTTAATCTTCTGCAGCGACACGTGCTTCTCCAGCTGGTAGTATTAGTAGTGATAGTACTAGTGATGGTAATAGTGATAGTAGTACTAGTGTTAGTAGTACTAGTGATAGTACTAGTGATGGTAATAGTAGTACTAGTGTTAGTAGTACTAGTGATAGTACTAGTGATGGTAATAGTGATAGTAGTACTAGTGTTAGTAGTACTAGTGATAGTACTAGTGATGGTAATAGTAGTACTAGTGTTAGTAGTACTAGTGATAGTACTAGTGATGGTAATAGTGATAGTAGTACTAGTGTTAGTAGTACTAGTGATAGTACTAGTGATGGTAATAGTGATAGTAGTACTAGTGATGATAGTAGTGATGTTACTAGTGATGGTAGTACTAGTGATAGTAGTAGTACTAGTGATGATAGTAGTAGTACTAGTGATAACACTCACGAGTGTTAATCTTCTGCAGAGACACGTGCTTCTCCAGCTGGTAGTAGTGATAGTAGTACTAGTGACAGTAGTGATAGTACTAGTGATAGTAGTACTAGTGATAGTAGTAGTACTAGTGGTAGTAGTGATAGTAGTGATGCTGCTAGTGATAGTACTCACGAGTGTTAATCTTCTGCAGAGACACGTGCTTCTCCAGCTAGTAGTAGTACTAGTGATAGTAGTACTAGTGATAGTGATAGTAGTAGTACTAGTGATAGTAGTGATAGTGATGGTACTAGTGATAGTGATAGTAGTAGTACTAGTGATAGTAGTGATAGTAGTGATAGCACTCACGAGTGTTAATCTTCTGCAGAGACACGTGCTTCTCCAGCTGGTAGTATTAGTAGTGATAGTACTAGTGATAGTAGTAGTACTAGTGATACTAGTGATGTTAGTAGTACTAGTGATAGCACTCACGAGTGTTAATCTTCTGCAGCGACACGTGCTTCTCCAGCTGGTAGTAGTACTAGTGATAGTAGTACTAGTGATAGTGATAGTAGTAGTACTAGTGATAGTAGTGATAGTGATGGTACTAGTGATAGTGATAGTAGTAGTACTAGTGATAGTAGTGATAGTAGTGATAACACTCACGAGTGTTAATCTTCTGCAGCGACACGTGCTTCTCCAGCTAGTACTAGTGATAGTAGTACTAGTGATGATAGTAGTAGTACTAGTGATAACACTCACGAGTGTTAATCTTCTGCAGCGACACGTGCTTCTCCAGCTGGTAGTAGTACTAGTGATAGTAGTACTAGTTATAGTAGTAGTACTAGTGATAGTAGTACTAGTGATAGTACTAGTGACACTAGTGATGTTACTAGTGATGGTAGTACTAGTGATAGTAGTAGTACTAGTGATGATAGTAGTACTAGTGATAACACTCACGAGTGTTAATCTTCTGCAGCGACACGTGCTTCTCCAGCTGGTGATAGTAGTACTAGTGATAGTACTAGTGATGTTAGTAGTACTAGTGATGGCACTCACGAGTGTTAATCTTCTGCAGAGACACGTGCTTCTCCAGCTGGTAGTAGTACTAGTGATGTTAGTACTAGTGATAGTAGTAGTACTAGTGATGATAGTAGTAGTACTAGTGATAACACTCACGAGTGTTAATCTTCTGCAGAGACACGTGCTTCTCCAGCTGGTAGTAGTGATAGTAGTACTAGTGATAGTAGTAGTACTAGTGATAGTGATAGTAGTACTAGTGATAGTAGTAGTACTAGTGACAGTAGTGATAGTACTAGTGATAGTAGTAGTACTAGTGACAGTAGTGATAGTACTAGTGATAGTAGTAGTACTAGTGATAGTGATGATAGTAGTGGTACTAGTGATAACACTCACGAGTGTTAATCTTCTGCAGAGACACGTGCTTCTCCAGCTGGTAGTAGTACTAGTGATAGTACTAGTGATGGTAATAGTGATAGTAGTACTAGTGATGATAGTAGTGATGTTACTAGTGATGGTAGTACTAGTGATAGTAGTACTAGTGATGTTACTAGTGATAGCACTCACGAGTGTTAATCTTCTGCAGAGACACGTGCTTCTCCAGCTGCCGACGGAGGCGCACCTCGGCCCCGTAGCGCCCGGCCGTGCCGTTGTCGGCCAGGATGAAGTGGGTGTGCATGCTGTTGAGCACCGTCAGACGGCTCAGCGGGTTCGACATGGTCTGATAGGGGCGCACCACCTACGATCAGCACAGGCGGCAGTTCAGACAGCATACATTACATTTTTAATGTATGCTGTCTGAAAGCCACCGTAAGCGTGAACACTCAATGAAGACCCGAAATGGTTTATCAAATCCTTCCAATGATTGCTAAGCCCAGAATCCATCTTCTCGGTTTGAAATTGTCTCCGTGTTTGTATACGTGGATAGCCTCACGAACGAATCTCTCACGGTAACCGTAAGCGTGAACACTCAATTAAGACCCGAAATGGTTTATCAAATCCTTCCAATGATTGCTAAGCCCAGAATCCATCTTCTCGGTTTGAAATTGTCTCCGTGTTTGTATACGTAGATAGCCTCACGAACGAATCTCTCACGGTAACCGTAAGCGTGAACACTCAATTAAGACCTGAAATGGTTTATCAAATCCTTCCAATGATTGCTAAGCCAAGAATCCATCTTCTCGGTTGAAATTGTCTCCGTGTTTGTATACGTGGATAGTCTCACAAACGAATCTCTCATGGTAAGCGTGAACAATCAATTAAGACCCAGACATGGTTTATCAAATCCTTCCAATGATTGCTAAGCCCAGAATCCATCTTCTCGGTTGAAATTGTCTCCGTGTTTGTATACGTGGATAGCCTCACGAACGAATCTCTCATGGTAAGCGTGAACACTCAATTAAGACCCGAAATGGTTTATCAAATCCTTCCAATGATTGCTAAGCCCAGAATCCATCTTCTCGGTTGAAATTGTCTCCGTGTTTGTATATGTGGATAGTCTCACGAACGAATCTCTCATGGTAAGTGTGAACACTCAATTAAGACCCGAAATGGTTTATCAAATCCTTCCAATGATTGCTAAGCCCAGAATCCATCTTCTTGGTTGAAATTGTCTCCGTGCTTGTATACGTGGATAGCCTCACGAACGAATCTCTCATGGTAAGTGTGAACACTCAATTAAGACCCGAAATGGTTTATCAAATCCTTCCAATGATTGCTAAGCCCAGAATCCATCTTCTTGGTTGAAATTGTCTCCGTGTTTGTATACGTGGATAGCCTCACGAACGAATCTCTCATGGTAAGCGTGAACAGTCAATTAAGGCCCGAAATGGTTTATCAAATCCTTCCAATGATTGCCAAACCCAGAATCCATCTTCTCGGTTTGAAATTGTCTCCGTGTTTGTATACGTGGATAGTCTCATGAACGAATCTCTCATGGTAAGCGTGATCAATCAATTAAGACCCGAAATGGTTTATCAAATCCTTCCAATGATTGCTAAGCCCAGAATCCATCTTCTCGGTTGAAATTGTCTCCGTGTTTGTATACGTGGATAGCCTCATGAACGAATCTCTCATGGTAAGCGTGAACACTCAATTAAGACCCGAAATGGTTTATCAAATCCTTCCAATGATTGCTAAGCCCAGAATCCATCTTCTCGGTTGAAATTGCCTCCGTGTTTGTATATGTGAATAGCCTCATGAACGAATCTCTCATGGTAAGCGTGAACAATCAATTAAGATCCGAAATGGTTTATCAAATCCTTCCAATGATTGCTAAGCCCAGAATCCATCTTCTCGGTTTGAAATTGTCTCCGTGTTTGTGTACGTGGATAGCCTCACGGACGAATCTCTCACGGTAACCGTAAGCGTGAACACTCAATTAAGACCCGAAATGGTTTATCAAATCCTTCCAATGATTGCTAGGCCCAGAATCCATCTTCTCGGTTTGAAATTGTCTCTGTGCTTGTTATATGCGGGTAGCCTCACGAACGAATCTCTCACGGTAACCGTAAGCGTGAACACTCAATGAAGACCCAAAATGGTTTATCAAATCCCCAGCATCATTGCTGGGCAATTTGCCGGAATGGTGAAGACCTCTCCACTTGCTCCCGGTCTTACATCGAGTAGCAGCAGCAGAGTGACATCAGCTGTGGTAGTTGGTGGTGGTTAGTGGTGGTTAGTGGTGGTAGTGGTGGTAGCGGTGGTAGTTAGTGGTGGTTAGTGGTGGTAGCGGTGGTAGTTGTGGTAGTTAGTGGTGGTAGCGGTGGTAGTTGTGGTAGTTAGTGGTGGTTAGTGGTGGTTAGTGGTGGTAGCAGTGGTAGTTGTGGTAGTTAGTGGTGGTTAGTGGTGGTTAGTTGTGGTTGTGGTAGTTAGTGGTAGCGGTGGTAGTTGTGGTAGTTGTGGTAGTTAGTGGTAGTTGTGGTAGTTAGTGGTAGTTGTGGTAGCTAGCGGTGGTAGCGGTGGTAGTTGTGGTAGTTAGTAGTAGCGGTGGTAGTTGTGGTAGTTAGTGGTAGTGGTGGTAGCTAGTGGTGGTAGCGGTGGTAGTTCTGGTAGTTAGTGGTAGCGGTGAAAGCTAGTGGTGGTAGCGGTGGTAGCTAGTGGTGGTAGCGGTGGTAGTTGTGGTAGTTAGTGGTAGCGGTGGTAGCGGTAGTAGCTAGTGGTGGTAGTAGTGGTCGCAGTGGTAGTTGTGGTAGTTAGTGGTATCGGTGGTAGCGGTGGTACTTGTGGTAGTTAGTGGTAGCGGTTGTAGCGGTGGTGGTAGCGGTGGTAGTTGTGGTAGTTAGTGGTGGCAGTTAGTGGTAGCGGTGGTAGCGGTGGTAGTTGTGGTAGTTAGTGGTAGTTAGTGGTAGCGGTGGTAGTTGTGGTAGTTGTGGTAGTTAGTGGTAGTGGTGGTAGTTAGTGGTGGTAGCTAGCGGTGGTAGTTGTGGTAGTTAGTGGTAGCGGTGAAAGCTAGTGGTGGTAGCTAGCGGTGGTAGTTGTGGTAGTTAGTGGTAGTTAGTGGTAGCGGTGGTAGCTAGTGGTGGTAGCGGTGGTAGCTAGTGGTGGTAGCGGTGGTAGTTGTGGTAGTTAGTGGTAGTGGTGGTAGCTAGTGGTGGTAGCTAGCGGTGGTAGTTGTGGTAGTTGTGGTAGTTAGTGGTAGCGGTGGTAGTTGTGGTAGTTAGTGGTAGCGGTGGTAGCTAGTGGTGGTAGCTAGCGGTGGTAGTTGTGGTAGTTGTGGTAGTTGTGGTAGCTAGTGGTAGCGGTGGTAGTTGTGGTAGCTAGTAGTAGCGGTGGTAGTTGTGGTAGTTAGTGGTAGCGGTGGTAGCTAGTGGTGGTAGCTAGCGGTGGTAGCGGTGGTAGTTGTGGTAGCTAGTGGTAGCGGTGGTAGTTGTGGTAGTTAGTGGTAGCGGTGGTAGCTAGTGGTGGTAGCTAGCGGTGGTAGTTAGTGGTAGTTAGTGGTAGCGGTGGTAGGTAGCGGTGGTAGCTAGCGGTGGTAGTTGTGGTAGTTAGTGGTAGCGGTGAAAGCTAGTGGTGGTAGCTAGCGGTGGTAGTTGTGGTAGTTAGTGGTAGTTAGTGGTAGCGGTGGTAGCTAGTGGTGGTAGCGGTGGTAGCTAGTGGTGGTAGCGGTGGTAGTTGTGGTAGTTAGTGGTAGTGGTGGTAGCTAGTGGTGGTAGCTAGCGGTGGTAGTTGTGGTAGTTGTGGTAGTTAGTGGTAGCGGTGGTAGTTGTGGTAGTTAGTGGTAGCGGTGGTAGCTAGTGGTGGTAGCTAGCGGTGGTAGTTGTGGTAGTTGTGGTAGTTGTGGTAGCTAGTGGTAGCGGTGGTAGTTGTGGTAGCTAGTAGTAGCGGTGGTAGTTGTGGTAGTTAGTGGTAGCGGTGGTAGCTAGTGGTGGTAGCTAGCGGTGGTAGCGGTGGTAGTTGTGGTAGCTAGTGGTAGCGGTGGTAGTTGTGGTAGTTAGTGGTAGCGGTGGTAGCTAGTGGTGGTAGCTAGCGGTGGTAGTTGTGGTAGTTGTGGTAGTTGTGGTAGTTGTGGTAGCTAGTGGTGGTAGTTGTGGTAGTTGTGGTAGTTAGTGGTAGCGGTGGTAGTTGTGGTAGTTAGTGGTAGTTAGTGGTAGCGGTGGTAGTTGTGGTAGTTAGTGGTAGCGGTGGGAGCGGTGGATGGGTCCGGAAAAAACAACCGCCCTACCTCACCGCGGTGCCGGATGGGCAACTCTGTCGTGGGCAGTGCCGTGGGGAGAGGGCCAATTCCGATTGGCCCATTCCCCTCATGGCGTCTGTGACCACCACACATTAAACCACGACTGAAATATCTAACTAATAAGCTTGTGTCGGAGGCCCCGGGGGTACAGGCGTCTATGACGTCTCCTGGACAAACCCCATTTGGCGGAGATTGAATCTCTACCCTCGGGGCTCCTCCAGAAACAACGAAAAGCCATTACGGATGGCCACGTGGAATGTTCTAACGCTCACCGCGGAGGAGAGGCTGCCACTCCTCCGTCGGGAGCTGGACCGGTACCGCCTGGATCTATGTGGCATTCAGGAGGTCCGGTGGACCGGCTCTGGCTCCTGCCACCATGAGGGGTGGACAGTCCTCTACTCGGTGGCAGGAGACTGCCAAACAACAGGGTGTGGCTCTTCTTCCGAACAAAAGAATGAAGGGGGCGTGGGAGCGTGGCGGTGAGGTGTGGGAAGCTGTAAGCCCCAGGCTACTTTGGGCTCGCCTTCCCATCAACCGGAGGCGAGGAGTGGTGGTCGTGGTTACTTATGCCCCCACCGAAGACGAACATCCGTGGAGGGATGCAGGCAAGGCCGATGAGTCAGACGCTTTACATGACCTCCTGTCACAGGTGCTGGCTAAAGTGGCCCCTCGGGATAGAGTCATCTTGTTGGGTGACTTCAATGCCCGAGTTGGTCATGATGCTGGCACCTGGTCTGGAGTGATTGGAGGGCATGGGCCAGATCAGCTCAATAACAATGGCAGTAGGCTGTTAGATTTTTATGCAGCCCATGGGCTTGTAATTGCCAACACGCTGTTCCGGCATCGGCGCATCCACACAACATCATGGATGCATCCCGGGTCCAAGCAAAAACATCTGCTGGACTACATAGTGACGGAACAGCGGATGCGAGCCCATGTCCTTGACACCAGGACCTACCGTGGAGCTGATCTGCCCTCTGACCATCGACTAGTCATCTGTAAGATGCGCCTGCCATTCTTCCACTCCGGTGGTGGGTGTACACCCAGGACCCCATTCAAACCCCTAGTGGCCTGGTCTCAGCTCGCTGATGAAAGTTGCAAGCGAGAATTTCATCGTCGCTTGCGGCTGGGGTTGGCATCGTCCCCGACTCCTCCTGATGTCGAAGGTAAATGGACGAGGTTTAGGACTGTGACTCACGCGGCTGCAATGGCCGCTTTGGGTACGCGGTCCAGACCTCCCCAGAGACCCTGGCTGACAGAGGAGGTGTTCAGGATGCTTGAGAAAAAGCGACAGGCCCACCGTCATCGGCTACAGCATCCCGCGTCGGAGAAATGAGGAGGCTTACCGCAGCCTTCGCTCGGAGGTTTCGGAGAGCCGTGAGGCGCTGCAAGGATGGGTGGTGGTCGCGGGTTGCTGAGGAGATGGAGTAACTACTACTAACTAGTCCTACTAACTGGTAGTGATGCTCACGTCTTTCCCCACAAGGTCATCTTTGTTCTCCACGATGCCCCAAGGTGCCAGTCCCACAGTGCAGATCTTCCCCCGAGACTTAGACGAGTGGTCCTTGAGGGCATCACCAACATGACGGATCACCCCTGTGGATAGACGCACGTAGATAGACACACACACACACAGAGACACACACAGATAGACACACAGAGCAAGTGGGTGAGTGAGTGAGTGGGTGAGTGGGTGAGTGAGTGGGTGAGTGGGTGAGTGAGTGAGTGGGTGAGTGAGTGAGTGAGTGGGTGAGTGAGTGAGTGGGTGAGTGGGTGAGTGGGTAAGTGAGTGAGTGAGTGGGTGAGTGGGTGAGTGAGTGGGTGAGTGAGTGAGTGAGTGGGTGAGTGAGTGAGTGGGTGAGTGGGTAAGTGAGTGGGTCAGTGAGTGAGTGGGTGAGTGAGTGAGTGGGTGGGTGAGTGAGTGAGTGAGTGGGTGGGTGAGTGGGTGAGTGAGTGAGTGGGTGGGTGAGTGGGTGAGTGAGTGGGTGAGTGGGTGAGTGAGTGAGTGAGTGGGTGAGTGAGTGAGTGGGTGAGTGAGTTGGTGAGTGAGTGGGTGAGTGGGTGAGTGAGTGGGTGGGTGAGTGGGTGAGTGGGTGAGTGGGTGACTGAGTGAGTGAATGAGTTGGTGAATGAGTGAGTGGTTGAGTGAATGAGTTGGTGAATGAGTGAGTGAGTGGGTGAGTGAGAGTGAACTGAGTGAGTCAGTGGGTGGATGAGGGAGTGGGTTAATGAGTGTGTGATTGAGTTGGTGAATGAGTGAATGAGTTGGTGAATGAGTGAGTGAATGAGTTGGTGAATGAGTGAATGAGTTGGTGAGTGAATGAGTTGGTGAATGAGTGAATGAGTGGGTGAATGAGTGAGTGATTGAGTTGGTGAATGAGTGAGTGAATGAATGAGTGAATGAGTGAGCGAGTGAGCGAGCGTGTCACCTGTGTTGACTCCTTGAGTAAAGATCCAAGCTCCTGTCGTCATGGCAGCTTTAATGAGACCTTTCCCAAACACCTGTCTCAGACACGGAGACACACGGAGACACGGGGAGACACGGGGAGACACGGAGACACACGGGGACACACAGGGAGACACGGGGATACACGGAGACACGGGGACACACGGGGACACACGGGGACACGGGGAGACACGGAGACACGGGGACACGGAGAGACACGGAGACACGCAGAGACACACGGAGACACGGAGACACGGGGAGACACGGAGACACACGGGGACACGGGGAGACACGGAGACACACGGAGACACGGGGACACGGAGACACGGGGAGGCACGGGGACACGGAGAGACACGGAGACACGGGGACACGGAGAGACACGGAGACACGGGGACACGGGGAGACACGGGGACAGGGGGACACACGAGGACACAGAGACACGGAGACACACAGAGACACGGAGACACGGGGACACACGGGGACACGGGGAGACACGGAGACAGGGGGACACGGGGACACGGGGAGACACGGGGAGACACGGAGACACGGGGACACGGGGACAAGGAGACACACGGAGACACGGAGACACGGAGACACACGGAGACACGCAGTCACACACGGAGACACACGGGGGCACGGGGAGACACGGGGAGACACGGGGACACGGAGACACACGGAGACACACGGAGACACGGGGATACACGGAGACAGGGACACACACGGAGACACACGGGGACACACGGAGACACACGGGGAGACACGGAGACACGGGGAGACACGGGGAGACACGGAGACACACGGAGATATACGGAGACACGGGGTGTCGCATACTGATTAGCGAGTGGTAGTGGTGAGTGGTAGTGGTGAGTGGTAGTGGTGAGTGGTAGTGGTGAGTGGTAGTGGTGAGTGGCAGTGGTAGTGGTGAGTGGTAGTGGTGAGTAGTAGTGGTGAGTGGTAGTGGTAGTGGTGAGTGGTAGTGGTGAGTGGTGAGTGGTAGTGGTGAGTGGTAGTGGTAGTGGTGAGTGGTAGTGGTGAGTGGTAGTGGTGAGTGGTAGTGGTGAGTGGTAGTGGTAGTGGTGAGTGGTAGTGGTGAGTGGTGAGTGGTAGTGGTGAGTGGTAGTGGTGAGTGGTAGTGGTGAGTGGTAGTGGTGAGTGGTAGTGGTGAGTAGTCGTGGTGAGTGGTAGTGGTGAGGGGTAGTGGTGAGTGGCAGTGGTGAGTGGTAGTGGTGAGTGGGAGTGGTAGTGGTGAGTGGTAGTGGTAGTGGTAGTGGTGAGTGGTAGTGGTGAGTGGTAGTGGTGAGTGGTAGTAGTGAGTGGGAGTGGTAGTGGTGAGTGGTAGTGGTGAGTGGTATTGGTGAGTAGTAGTGAGTGGTAGTGGTGAGTGGTAGTGGTGAGTGGTAGTGGTGAGTGCTAGTGGTGAGTGGTAGTGGTGAGTGGTAATGGTGAGCGTCAGTGGTGAGCGGTAGTGGTTGAGTGGTAGTCGTGAGCGGTAGTGGTTGAGTGGTAGTGGTGAGTGGTAGTGGTGAGCGGTAGTGGTAGCGGTGAGTGGTAGTGGTGAGTGAGTAGTAGTGGTAGTGGTGAGTGGTAGTGGTGAGTGGTGAGTGGTGGTGGTGGTGGTGGTGAGTGAGTGAGTGAGTGGTGAGTGAGTGAGTGAGTGGTGGGTGGGTTGAGTAGGTGAGTGAGTGGGTGGGTGGGTGAGTGGGTGAGTGGGTGGGTGAGTGGGTGAGTGAGTGAGTGGGTGAGTGAGTGGGTGAGTGAGTGGGTTGAGTAGGTGAGTGGGTGAGTGAGTGGGTGAGTGAGTGGGTGGGTGAGTGGGTGAGTGGGTGAGTGAGTGGGTGGGTGGGTGAATGAGTGAGTGAGTGGTGAGTGAGTGGGTGGGTGAGTGAGTGAGTGAGTGGTGAGTGGGTGAGTGAGTGAGTGAGTGGGTGAGTGAGTGGGTGAGTGGTAGTGGTGAGTGGTAGTGGTGAGTGGTAGTGATGAGTAGTAGTGGTGAGCGGTGAGCGGTGGTGGTGAGTGAGTGGTGAGTGAGTGAGTGAGTGGTAGTGGTGAGTGGTGAGTGAGTGAGTGGGTGAGGGGGTGAGTGAGTGAGTGAGTGGTGAGTGAGTGAGTGGTGGGTGGGTGGGTGAGTGGGTGAGTGGGTGAGTGAGTGGGTGAGTGAGTGGGTGGGTGAGTGAGTGAGTGGGTGAGTGAGTGGGTGAGTGAGTGGGTGAGTGAGTGAGTGAGTGGGTGAGTGAGTGGGTTGAGTAGGTGAGTGGGTGAGTGAGTGGGTGAGTGAGTGAGTGGGTGAGTGAGTGGGTGAGTGAGTGAGTGGGTGAGTGAGTGGGTTGAGTAGGTGAGTGGGTGAGTGAGTGGGTGAGTGAGTGAGTGGTGAGTGAGTGAGTGGTGGGTGGGTGGGTTGAGTAGGTGAGTGAGTGGGTGGGTGGTTGAGTGGGTGAGTGGGTGAGTGAGTGAGTGGGTGAGTGGGTGAGTGAGTGAGTGGTGAGTGAGTGAGTGAGTGGTGGGTGGGTGAGTGGGTGAGTGAGTGAGTGAGTGGGTGGGTGAGTGGGTGAGTGAGTGAGTGGGTGAGTGAGTGAGTGAGTGGGTTGAGTGGGTGAGTGAGTGAGTGGGTGAGTGAGTGGGTGAGTGAGTGAGTGGTGGGTGGGTGGGTGAGTGAGTGAGTGGGTGAGTGAGTGGGTGGTGGGTGAGTGGGTGAGTGGTAGTGGTGAGTGGTGAGTGGTAGTGGTGAGTGGTGAGCGGTCACCTGCTTGAGTTTGGGCTGCAACTCGAAGTTCTGGAGTCCTCCGTGTACCGAGATGAGCGTTGAGTGAGTGAGTGAGTGGGTGAGTGAGTGAGTGAGTGGGTGAGTGGGTGAGTGAGTGGGTGAGCGGTAGTGGTGAGTGGTGAGTGGTAGTGGTGAGTGGTGAGCGGTCACCTGCTTGAGTTTGGGCTGCAACTCGAAGTTCTGGAGTCCTCCGTGTACCGAGATGAGCGGTGAGTGAGTGAGTGGGTTGAGTGGGTGAGTGAGTGAGTGAGTGGGTGAGTGAGTGGGTGAGTGAGTGGGTGAGTGGTAGTGGTGAGTGAGTGAGTGAGTGGTGAGTGAGTGAGTGAGTGGGTTGAGTGGGTGAGTGAGTGGGTGAGTGAGTGGGTGAGTGGTAGTGGTGGGTGGTAGTGGTGGGTGGTAGTGGTGAGTGGTAGTGGTGAGTGGTGAGTGGTCACCTGCTTGAGTTTGGGCTGCAACTCGAAGTTCTGGAGTCCTCCGTGTACCGAGATGAGCGGTGAGTGAGTGAGTGGGTTGAGTGGGTGAGTGAGTGGTGAGTGAGTGAGTGAGTGGGTTGAGTGGGTGAGTGGGTGAGTGAGTGAGTGGGTGAGTGAGTGAGTGGGTGAGTGGGTGGGTGAGTGGGTGAGTGAGTGGGTGAGTGAGTGGGTGAGTGGTAGTGGTGAGTGAGTAGTAGTGGTGAGTGAGTGGTGAGCGGTCACCTGCTTGAGTTTGGGCTGCAACTCGAAGTTCTGGAGTCCTCCGTGTACCGAGATGAGCGGTGAGTGAGTGAGTGAGTGGTGAGTGAGTGAGTGGGTGAGTGGGTGGGTGAGTGGGTGAGTGAGTGAGTGGGTGAGTGGGTGGGTGAGTGGGTGAGTGGTGAGTGGTAGTGGTGAGTGGTGAGCGGTCACCTGCTTGAGTTTGGGCTGCAACTCGAAGTTCTGGAGTCCTCCGTGTACCGAGATGAGCAGCTTGGGTAGCTCCATCTGCCACTCACGCAGCAGCAGCTGCAGCAGCAGCTCCGGCTTCGTGTCCAGGGAGACACGTGCATACTGGGGGAGACACGGGGAGACACGGTGAGACACGGGGAGGAGACACGTGCATACTGGGGGAGACACGGGGAGACACGGTGAGACACGGGGAGGAGACACGTGCATACTGGGGGAGACACGGGGAGACACGGTGAGACACGGGGAGGAGACACGTGCATACTGGGGGAGACACGGGGAGACACGGTGAGACACGGTGAGACACGGGGAGACACGGGGGGAAACACGTGCATACTGGGGGAGACACGGGGAGACACGGGGAGACACGGGGACACACGGTGAGACACGGGGGGGAGACACGGTGAGACACGGGGAGACACGGGGGGAAACACGTGCATACTGGGGGAGACACGGTGAGACACGGGGAGACACGTGCATACTGGGGGAGACACGGGGAGACACGGGGAGACACGGTGAGACACGTGCATACTGGAGACACGGGGAGACACGGTGAGACACGGGGAGACACGTGCATACTGGGGGAGACACGGGGAGACACGGTGAGACACGGGGAGACACGTGCATACTGGGGGAGACACGGGGAGACACGGTGAGACACGGGGGGGAGACACGGTGAGACACGGGGAGACACGGGGGGGAGACACGGGGAGACACGGGGGGGAGACACGGGGAGACACGGTGAGACACGGTGAGACACGGGGAGGAGACACGGGGGACACACGGTGAGACACGGGCATACTGGAGACACGGGGAGACACGGTGAGACACGGGGGGGAGACACGTGCATACTGGAGACACGGGGAGACACGGTGAGACACGGGGAGACACGGGGGGGAGACACGGGGAGACACGGGGGGGAGACACGGGGAGACACGGGGAGGAGACACGGGGGAGACACGGTGAGACACGGGGGGGAGACACGGGGGGGAGACACGGGGGGAAACACGTGCATACTGGAGACACGGGGAGACACGGTGAGACACGGTGAGACACGGGGAGACACGGTGAGACACGGGGGGGGAGACACGTGCATACTGGGGGAGACACGGGGAGACACGGGGGGGGAGACACGGGGGGGAGACACGGGGAGAGACACGGTGAGACACGGGGGGGAGACACGGGGGGAAACACGTGCATACTGGAGACACGGGGAGACACGGGGAGACACGGTGAGACACGGGGGGGAGACACGGGGGGCAGACACGGGGAGACACGGGGGGGAGACACGTGCATACTGGGGGAGACACGGGGGGGGGGGGGGGGGGGAGACACTTAGGGAGACACCAGATAGAACCCACGACCTCCTGTGTACCGGGCGAGGTAGTCAACATCTCCTAGTCACGTGATAAACTGCGAATAACCTCAACCCCACCATTGGATGATCTAACCCAGGGGTCGGGAACCTATGGCTCGCGAGCCAGATGTGGCTCTTTTGATGATTGCATATGGCTCGCAGATAAAACAAAATATTCTCACTTGTTTTAATCCATCCATCGATTTTTCACTGCGCATGTCCTGTTCAGGGCTGCAGGAGCAATTGTCCATTATTTTAATTGGATGATACTGGCCTACGTTTGCCGTTGCTGGGTAAAACAGGTAAACGCCCCCTTTTGAATCAGTCTGAGACTGCGTCTGCTCGGTCATTAGCTCAAAGCTAACCCTTCGACGAAGAAGATGGCGAAAAGAAAAAAAGACGACGAGTATCGTACATTTCAGGACGAATGGACCGAAGAATTCGCCTTTGTGGAGAGAGCGGGTTCTGCGGTGTGTCTAATTTGCAATGACAAAATTACATCGTTGAAATGGTCGAATGTAAAGCGGCACTTCGACACGCGCCACGCTACCTTTGCATCAAAATACCCTGCGGGAGACAGCAGAAAGAAAGCGTGCCAAGAGCTTCTGAGCAGGGTGCAAGCTAGCCAGCAGCAACTCCGCGTATGGACCCGGCAAGGTGACTATAATTCGGCTAGCTTTGCTGGTTCTTTAGCAATAGTGAGGAATGGAAAACCATTCACAGATGGCGAGTATGCTAAAACGTTCATGCTGGATGTAGCCAATGAACTTTTTGATGATCTTCCGAACAAAGACAAGATAATCAAACGGATACAAGACATGCCTCTGTCGGCAAGAACTGTTCATGATCGTACCATCGTGATGGCAAACAAAGTGGAGGAAACGCAAGTGAAGGACATAAATGCAGCGCCGTTCTTTTCTCTGGCTTTGGATGAGTCAACAGACGTGAGCCATTTGTCGCAGTTCAGCGTGATTGCAAGATATGCTGTTGGTGACACACTGCGCGAAGAAAGTCTTGCTGTTCTGCCATTAAAAGGGTCCACAAGAGGTGAGGATTTAAATTTTGATTTAAAGCTTTCGTGACTGCAGTAATTCATATTCTTAGTTTTTTCGGTAAAGTCACGTTGAAGAGAAACAACAAAATAACAAAATATATATAAAACAATAAAAAATTCTCACGACGTTTCGACCATAACTCAAACGGTCATCATCAGGTGTGTGATGATGACCGTTTGAGTTATGGTCGAAACGTCGTGAGACTTTTTATTGTTTTATATATATTTTGTTATTTTGTTGTTTCTCTTCAACGTGACTTTACCGAAAAAACTAAGAATATAGGTGAGGATTTATTCAAGTCTTTCATGGAGTTTGCTCAAGAAAAAAGTCTACCTATGGATAAACTTCTCTCAGTGTGTACTGATGGTGCTCCGTGTATGGTGGGGAAAAACAAAGGATTTGTGGCGCTTCTCCGTGAACATGAAAATAGACCCATCCTAAGTTTCCATTGCATTATACACCAGGAGGCACTTTGTGCTCAGATGTGTGACAGGCAGTTTGGCGAAGTGATGTCGCTGGTCATTCGTGTGATCAACTTTATTGTTGCCCGAGCCTTAAATGATCGCCAGTTTAAAACACTGCTGGATGAAGTTGTAAATAACTATCCTGGTCTGCTTTTGCACAGCAATGTGCGTTGGTTGTCAAGAGGGAAGGTGCTTAGCCGTTTTGCGGCTTGCCTGAACGAAATCCGGACTTTCCTTGAAATGAAAGGCGTCGGGCATCCTGAGCTAGCCGACACCGAGTGGCTCCTCAAGTTTTACTATCTCGTAGATCTGACTGAACATCTGAACCAGCTCAACGTGAAAATGCAAGGCATTGGAAATACAGTGTTATCCCTTCAACAAGCTGTATTTGCTTTTGAAAACAAGCTGGAGCTTTTCATCACGGATCTTGAAACAGGTCGTTTACTACATTTTGAAAAACTGAGCCAATTTAAAGATGCATGCACAGCAAGTGAGCCCATTCAAAACCTTGATCTCCACCAGCTAGCTGGCTGCACATCCAGTCTCCTACAGTCCTTCAAAGCACGCTTTGGAGAATTTCGTGAGCACACTCGTCTTTTTAAGTTCATCACCCATCCAAACGAGTGTTCACTGAACACAGCCGACTTGAATTACATCCCTGGTGTCTCCGTCAGAGATTTTGAAGCAGAAGTGGCTGACCTGAAGGCCTCAGACATGTGGGTGAATAAGTTCAAGTCACTGAATGAAGATTTGGAAAGAATCACACGACAGAAAGCGGAGTTGGCGAGCAAGCACATGTGGACAGAAATGAAAAAACTCCAACCCGAAGACCAGCTGATTCTCAAAACTTGGAACGCGCTTCCTGTCACATACCACACACTGCAGCGTGTGAGTATTGCTGTATTGACCATGTTTGGATCTACGTATGCATGTGAGCAGTCATTCTCACATCTTAAAAACATCAAGTCCAACCTACGATCACGTTTAACGGATGAAAGCCTCAACGCTTGCATGAAGCTTAACCTCACCAAGTACCAACCCGACTACAAAGACATCAGCAAATCCATGCAGCACCAGAAGTCGCATTAATGGTGAGTGTTATAACAACATTATTTAAAAGAATAAATTCAGAGGCTTATTATACTGACATTTAGTTGAATTCACTTTTAAAATATATTATATGGCTCTCACTGAAATAAATTTCCAATTTTTTTGCTTTCATGGCTCTCTTAGTCAAAAAGGTTCCCGACCCCTGATCTAACCTGATGGGCTCCCCACAGTGAGGAAGGTGATGATGATAACACCATCATCATCATCACCACCGCCACCATCACCACCACCATTACCTTTACCACCACCACCACCACCACCCCCACCACCACCACCACCTCACCACCACCTCACCTTCACCACCACCACCTCACCACCACCACCTCACCACCACCACCACCTCACCACCACTACCACCTCACCACCACCTCACCACCACCACCACCACCTCACCACCACCACCTCACCACCACCACCACCTCACCACCACCACCTCCTCACCACCACCACCACCCCCACCTCACCACCTCACCACCACCACCACCACCTCACCACCACCCCCACCACCACCTCACCACCACCACCACCACCTCACCACCACCACCATTTCACCATCACCACCACCTCACCCCCACCACCACCACCTCCTCACTACCACCACCTCACCACCTCCTCACCACCACCACCTCACCACCTCCTGACCCTCACCACCTTCTCACCACCACCACCTCACCCCCACCTCACCACCACCTCACCACCACCACCTCCTCACCCTCACCACCACCACCTCCTCACCACCACGTCCTCACCACCACCACCACCCTCACCACCACCTCCTCACCACCACCTCACCACCTCACCACCACCACCTCCTCACCCTCACCACCACCTCCTCACCACCACCACCTCCTCACCCTCACCACCACCACCTCCTCACCACCACCACCACCTCCTCACCACCACCTCACCACCTCACCACCACCACCTCCTCACCCTCACCACCACCACCTCACCACCACCACCTCCTCACCCTCACCACCACCTCCTCCTCACCACCACCACCACCTCACCACCACCTCCTCACCACCCTCACCACCACGTCCTCACCATGGCCTTGTTTGAGTGTCCTGCCCCATGAAACTCGATGGTGCCATAGGCGTCCGTGGGGCTCGCGTGCGTGTGCTGCGTCACGCTCCAGCGCTCCTGTGATTGGCCACTCGCCGCCGCCGCTGCCGTCTCCGCCGCGTGCTTGCTGCCCGTTGCCGGGCTCTGATTGGCCGCCCGCGGGATGACGTAGGGCACGAGGCCAACGTGCTGGCCAATGAGGCGGCCACAGCAGCATCTGCGGTTGGGGTGGGGAGGGTGGAGAGTTGGTGACAGTGTGGGTGGGTGAGTGGGGTTGGTGGGTGGGTGGCTGGGTGAGTGAGTTGGTGGGTGGGTGGCTGGGTGAGTGGGTGAGTGGGTGGGTGATTGGGTGGGTGGGTCTTGAGTGGGTGAGTGTATGGGTGAGTGGGTGAGTGAGTGAGTGGGTGAGTGGGTGGGTGGGTGAGTGAGTGGGTGGGTGAGTATGTGGATGGGTGAGTGGGTGGGTGGTTGAGTGAGTGAGTGGGTGGATGTGTGTGTGGGTGAGTGGGTGGGTGGGTAAGTGAGTGGGTGGGTGGGTGAGTGTGTGGGTGAGTGGGTGGGTGGGTGAGTGAGTGAGTGGGTGGGTAGGTGAGTGGGTGGGTGAGTGGGTGGGTGAGTGGGTGGGTGGATGTATGGGTGAATGGGTGGGTGAGTGGGTGGATGAGTGGGTGGATGAGTGAGTGAGTGGGTGGGTGAGTGGGTGAGTGTATGGGTGAGTGGGTGGGTGTGTGAGTGGGTGAGTGGGTGGATGGGTGGGTGAGTGAGTGGGTGGGTGGGTGAGTGGGTTAGTGAGTGAGTGGGTGAGTGGGTGAGTGAGTGAGTGGGTTAGTGAGTGAGTGAGTGGGTGGATGAGTGGGTGAGTGAGTGAGTGGGTGAGTGAGTGAGTGGGTGTTTTGGTGAGTGAGTGGGTGGGTGAGTGAGTGGGTGGGTGAGTGGGTGAGTGTATGGGTGAGTGGGTGGTTCGGCGAGTGGGTGACTGAGTGGGTGGGTGAGTCTCCGCGAGTCTGTTGAGGCTGAGTGGACCTAGGGAAGTCCCACCCTCACCTGTGTGGATCTTTGGAGCTCTGTATGACGTGGATGCATTCCCTCTTACAGAAGGATCGCTCGATCCAGCTCCGTTGGGCCTGGGAGACACGGGGAGACGTGGGGAGACACGGGTAGACACAGGGAGACACGGGGAGACATGGGAACACGCAGAGAGACACAGGGAGACACGGGGAGACGTGGGGAGACGTGGAGAGACACAGGGAGACACAGGGAGACACGGGGAGACACAGAGAGACACGGGGACACGCAGAGAGACACAGGGAGACACAGGGAGACACGGGGAGACACAGGAAAGACACAGTTTCATAGTTGCATTTTTCATAGTTTCATTTAATTTGGGTAAAGCCCTGTGAGCCATTCGGCTCTTGAATCAGGTGCAACCGCAACAAACAAAAAAACAAAAACACGAACAAGAAAAACATCTTAAAGTGACTACTTTGTGTGACTGTGCAAACAGAAAATCCAGGAAAAAAAACATCAAAATATTCCTGAAATAGCACCGCACACCAAGTCAAACAACAACAAAAACCACAAGACAACTTAGATTAAGGCCGTCAGTCTAACTCCGTACTACAACAACAACCAGAAGACAACTTAGATTAAGGCCATCAGTCTAACTCCGTACTACAACAACAACCACAAGACAACTTACATTAAGGCCATCAGTCTAACTCCGTACTACAACAACAACCACAAGACAACTTAGATTAAGGCCATCAGTCTAACTCCGTACTACAACAACAACCACAAGACAACTTAGATTAATGCCATCAGTCTAACTCCATACTACAACAACAACCACAAGTCAACTTAGATTAAGGCCATCAATCTAACGCCGTACTACAACAACAACCACAAGACAACTTAGATTAAGGCCATCAGTCTAACTCCGTACTACAACAACAACCACATGACAACTAAGATTAAGGCCATCAGTCTAACTCCGTACTACAACAACAACCACAAGACAACTTAGATTAAGGCCATCAGTCTAACTCCATACTACAACAACAACCACAAGACAACTTAAATTAAGGCCATCAGTCTTACTCCGTACTACAACAACAACCACAAGACAACTTAGATTAAGGCCATCAGTCTAACTCCGTACTACAACAACAACCACAAGACAACTAAGATTAAGGCCATCAGTCTAACTCCGTACTACTACAACAACCAAAAGACAACTTAGATTAAGGCCATCAGTCTAACTCCGTACTACTACAACCACCACAAGACAACTTAGATTAAGGCCATCAGTCTAACTCCGTACTACAAAAACTACCACAAGACAACTTAGATTAAGGCCATCAGTCTAACTCCGTACTACAACAACAACCACAAGACAACTTAGATTAAGGCCATCAGTCTTACTCCGTACTACAACAACAACCACAAGACAACTTAGATTAAGGCCATCAGTCTAACTCCGTACAACAACAACAACCACAAGACAACTTAGATTAAGGCTGTCAGTCTAACTCCGCACTACAACAACAACCACAAGACAACTTAGATTAAGGCCATCAGTCTAACTCCGTACAACAACAACAACAACCACAAGACAACTTAGATTAAGGCCATCAGTCTTACTCCGTACTACAACAACAACAACAACCACAAGACAACTTAGATTAAGGCCATCAGTCTAACTCCGTACTACAATAAACAAAAACATGGCCAAACCAAAATACCTTTTCCAAATCACCAAAATAAAAGCCATAATTGCAACGTAACAGTGACCGCAAGGACTGTGACCGAATGTTTAACAATAAACTACATAAATAACATGTAACACTAAACCCTAGAGCCATAGCTGGCTGCATGAGTTACTCCACAAATAACAGGAGCATCAGTCGGAGTATCCCCAGTGGGATGTAAGTCAAACAACAACAACCACAACCACAAGACAACTTAGATTAAGGCCATCAGTCTAACTCCGTACTACAACAACAACAACCACAAGACAACTTAGATTAAGGCCATCAGTCTAACTCCGTACAACAACAACAACCACAAGACAACTTAGATTAAGGCCATCAGTCTAACTCCGTACTACTACAACCACCACAAGACAACTTAGATTAAGGCCATCAATCTAACTCCGTACAACAACAACAACAACCACAAGACAACTTAGATTAAGGCCATCAGCCTAACTCCGTACTACAACAACAACCACAAGACAACTTAGATTAAGGCCATCAATCTAACGCCGTACTACTACAACCACCACAAGACAACTTAGATTAAGGCCATCAGTCTAACACCGTACTACAAAAACTACCACAAGACAACTTAGATTAAGGCCATAAGTCTAACTCCGTACTACAACAACAACCACAAGACAACTTAGATTAAGTCCATAAGTCTAACTCCGTACTGCAACAACAACCACAAGACAACTAAGATTAAGGCCATCAGTCTAACTCCGTACTACAACAACAACCACAAGACAACTTAGATTAACCCCATCAGTCTAACTCCGTACTACAACAACAACCACAAGACAACTTAGATTAAGGCCGTCAGTAAAACTCCGTACTACTACAACCACCACAAGACAACTTAGATTAAGGCCATCAATCTAACTCCGTACAACAACAACAACAACCACAAGACAACTTAGATTAAGGCCATCAGCCTAACTCCGTACTACAACAACAACCACAAGACAACTTAGATTAAGGCCATCAATCTAACGCCGTACTACTACAACCACCACAAGACAACTTAGATTAAGGCCATCAGTCTAACACCGTACTACAAAAACTACCACAAGACAACTTAGATTAAGGCCATAAGTCTAACTCCGTACTACAACAACAACCACAAGACAACTTAGATTAAGTCCATAAGTCTAACTCCGTACTGCAACAACAACCACAAGACAACTAAGATTAAGGCCATCAGTCTAACTCCGTACTACAACAACAACCACAAGACAACTTAGATTAACCCCATCAGTCTAACTCCGTACTACAACAACAACCACAAGACAACTTAGATTAAGGCCGTCAGTAAAACTCCGTACTACAACAACAACCACAAGACAACTTAGATTAAGGCCGTCAGTCTAACTCTGTACTACAAAATCAACCACAAGACAACTTAGATTAAGGCCATCAGTCTAACTCCTTACTACAACAACAACAACCACAAGACAACTTAGATTAAGGCCATCAGTCTAACTCCGTACTACAACAACAACCACAAGACAACTTAGATTAAGGCCATCAGTCTAACTCCGTACTACAACAATAACAACCATAAGACAACTTAGAATAAGGCCATCAGTCTAACTCCGTACTACAACAACAACCACAAGACAACTTAGATTAAGGCCATCAGTCTAACTCCATACTACAACAACAACCACAAGACAACTTAGATTAAGGCCGTCAGTCGAACTCCGTAGTACAACAACAACCACAAGACAACTTAGATTAAGGCCATCAGTCTAACTCCGTACTACAACAACAACCACAAGACAACTTAGATTAACGCCATCAGTCTAACTCCGTACTACAACAACAACCACAAGACAACTTAGATTAAGGCCATCAGTCTAATTCCGTACTACAACAACCACCACAAGACAACTTATATTAAGGCCATCAGTCTAACTCCGTACTACAACAACAACCACAAGACAACTTAAATTAAGGCCATCAGTCTTACTCCGTACTACAACAACAACCACAAGACAACTTAGATTAAGGCCATCAGTCTAACTCCGTACCACAACAACAACCACAAGACAACTAAGATTAAGGCCATCAGTCTAACTCCGTACTACAACAACAACCACAAGACAACTTAGATTAAGGCCATCAGTCTAACTCCATACTACAACAACAACCACCAGACAACTTAGATTAAGGCCGTCAGTCTAACTCCATACTACAACAACAACCACAAGACAACTTAGATTAAGGCCGTCAGTCTAACTCTGTACTACAAAAACAACCACAAGACAACTTAGATTAAGGCCATCAGTCTAACTCCGTACTACAACAACAACCACAAGACAACTTAGATTAAGGCCATCAGTCTAATT